TACACATGTACATTTCAGATGGAGTTAATCACTCCCTTCTCCGTGTAACCTCTGTGTCTTCCATAATGTTCATGTGAAATAATACTCTTTATTATAATAGAGATCTCTCTGGAGAGCAATGGGTAGAGCCAACAGGTCAAGAACATCCCACTGGGTTCTGAAGACAGGCTGCCAGGGCTTTATTTTGGTTTCCCCAAAACTAAGAGACCTTGGACAAGTTACTTCTCCTCTCTGTGTTTCACTTCCTCATGTGTAAAATGGGGATAATACTGGAGCCTACCACTTACAGTTGTTGTAAGAATTAAATGAATTGATATACGTAAAATGGTTACGCACAGTGCCTGTCATAGAGTAAATGATCCATATGTGTCCACTGTTGTCCCCAGAACCGACAACAGTGTGTAGCAGAAGGACCTCAGTAAGGATTACCGAATGGCTTCATTGGGATACAATCTTCATCATCCATCCCCAACTCATGTTTGCAGCTTTATTTCTACTTCTCACCTACAAAAATCCTGTGTTATCATCAAACACATAATTCACCTTTCCCTCTTCAACCCTTATTCCTTCACACATACTGTTTTGTGTACCAGAAATATTTTTTCTCCATCTTCCACCTTCCTTCCTATCTCTGGTAGATCTCAAATCCAACTACCAAAAGAACATAGATTTCAGGATGTTGCTCTCTGGAGAGTGTGATTATGTGGGTCTAGGTGAGGCACTGGAAACTTTCAAGTTTAAGAAGTTCACCAGGAGATTTTAATGTGCAATCAGGTATATTAAATATGCCTTGAATAGCACAGACACCCAACAAATGTTTGAGAAATAAAACTCCCTCACTATTTTCTGTACTGCCATGGATGCTTAGACAAACTTCTTTGCTATTTCCAACCAAATGCCCTCATCTGTAAGTGTTGCAGCTCCCAAGGCCATGAGAAGTCTGTGAACACTCAGTGAGTGAGCAGACAAAATAATCTGATTTTATATATTGTCTCACTTTGCCTTTGTCATATCCTTTCCTTTACCTGATGTCCCTAGAATACTACTCCACCTAAAGTCACAGAGAAGCTTGGTATTTTACTTTAAATTCACATATAAGAAATTTACTTCAGGTAGCTCTACAAAAAAAAAAAAAATGAAATAAATCAAAATAAGGAATGAAACCAAAGAAAAACATGTTATTTAGGTAACATTAATTTCAATTATATGCCTCACAACATTAAATGTGAATGTAATGATTCAATCCAAACAAAACGATCCAGGCTGTCAGACTGGATTAAAAAACGAGATTTGGACTGGGAACGGTGGCTCATACCTGTAATCCCTGCACTTTGGGAGGCTAAGGCAGGTGGATCATGAGGTCAGGAGTTCAAGACCAGACTGGCTAATATGGTGAAACCCTATCTCTACTAAAAATACAAGAATTAGCCGGGCATCGTGGCATGCACCTGTAGTCCCAATTACTTGGGAGGCTGAGGCAGAAGAATCACTAGAACCCAGGAGTCGGAGGTTGTTGCAGTGAGCCAAGATCGTGCTATTGCACTCCAGCCTGGCAACAGAGAGAGGCTCTGTCTCAAAAAAAAAAGAGATTAGACTACAAGTTGTTCATACAAGATACACTTCATTTTTTGTTATTTTTTCTATTTTTCTATTTTATTATTATTTTTTAATTGATAAAAAGTATGCATATTTATGGTATATGGCATGATGTTTTGAAATATGTGGGCACTGTGATATGGCTAAGTTTGACCGACTTTCACTGCCGTTCCCACTTTCAGGGTCATAACAGGTGACATGCTGTTCCTGGCAGAATGACAAACCCCTGTGCTTTCAAGGCTACTAACGTTGGTGTGTTTCTTTTGGTAAATAAATGACCTTGAAAATTATCCATAGTGTACATTTCTGACCAGACATGTGTGCATAACTAACATATGCATTGCCTCACATACTTCCATTTAAAAGGGATAACCAAAGTAAATTCTCCATCATGTTTCTGATGTGAAGATATTGAGAACTTCTAGAAATTCCACTGATTAGTGTTAGAACTCTGCTCTCGCAATCCTCATTTTCTTCTTCTCCATCCCACTGCTTAACCCACAAAAGTCAACTTCTAGAAGGTTCAAAATATTTAACTTGGCTCCATGTCCTCCAGGAAGCATCCCAGGCCTTCCCCCAGTATCCTCCATCTCCCTCTCAGGCCATTGCTCTGTGCTCCAACAGTGCCCTGTACCCATGCCTAATGTTAGTGCACTTACAGTTCCAGACACTGTAAACCATGTCTCTACCTCAAAAGTGTGCTCCTCTAAAGCAGGGAAGGATCCCTCATCATTATTCCAGGCCCCAGTACTCAGTAACCACCTAACGCATATCTCTATTAAAAACTAGTAAGAAATGAAAGCCCTCCAGCCCAGAGGTCCTCAACCATTTAATTACCAAAGATGCCTTGTATCATTTCTTTTTAAGTTTTTCTAGAATAGTGTTTTAATAATTTATTTGTGTTTCCACTTTATTAAATAAACTCTGAACACAGCAAATTACCAATCAGAGCTATGAGAAAATTAGTGCTACCTAACTAAATTGCTATGAATTCCATGCAAAGGAAACACACACACACACACACACACACACACACACACACACACACTGATGTTTTAGCTAGTGTGTGTATCAACATTTTAATGAAATTGAATTCTTTTCTGAAATAATTTTCAAAATCTAAAACTATCAAACAAATCCGCATAAAGACAAATGACTGCCCCACACATGACCAGTGAGAGGACAACTTAACTATATGTATGTAGGGCCTTGAAAATGTTCATCTTTGGCCCAGTAATTCTACCCTGAAGAATTCTATCTTAATTCTATCCTAAGGAAATATAACATGTAAAAATATACAAAACATGTTTTCTATATGAAACATGTTATTGAAGAGTAATTTATAATACTGAAAAGTAGGAAACAATCTAGATATCAGTGATTTGGGACTGGTTAAAAATAAGTTACGCAACAGCCAGCCAATGGGAAACAATGAAGCTCATGAAAATGACATTTATGTAGAAAAGTTTTTAAAACACAGTAATACATTTAAGTGATAATGGTAAGTTAACAGAGTGGAATATAAAATTGCCTGCACAGTACAACCCCAACTACACACAAAATATAATTTGTTTTGTTTTTTTTTGTTTAAAAAAGAAGACACATCCACTAAAATTTCAAGAGTGAGTGTTACTAAGAGGAGGTATTTTGGGTGAATTTTCTATCTTGATCTTTATCATTCTCTGTGTTTTCAGAATGTTAAGCCAGAAGCAGAGTGCTTTTATAATTTTTTTTAAATGTCAAAAGGTTAAGATAACAAACCCACTGAAAGATTCATTACTTCCATGTCTAAGCAACAACTTCCAAGAGATGGTATTCAGAGATATGTGTAGGAACTCTAAATAATAGACTAAAACATCTCATCTCACATTTTTAAATACATTCCTAATAGTTTGTTTTTGTTGTCGTTGTTGTTTTGAGACAGAGTCTCACTCTGTCACCCAGGCTGGAGTGCAGCGGCACAATCTCAGCTCACTGCAACTTCTGACTCCCAGGTTCAAGTGATTCTTCTGGCTCAACCTCCCAAATAGCTGGAATTACAGGCACCCACCACCACACCTGACTATTTTTTTTTTTTTTTTTGTATTTTTAGTAGAGATGGAATTTTGCCATGTGGGCAGGCTGGTCTCAAACTCCTGACCTCAGGTGATCCACCCACCTCGGCCTCCCAAAGTGCTGGGATTACAAGCGTGAGCCACCGCACCTGGCCCCCTAATAGTTTTTCAACTTCTTCCTCTGCCGAAGAATATCAAGAATGAAAACAAATAATCTGTACCTACTAACAACTCTCTCCATCATGGGATCAAATGATAATTCAATATCCAGACACTTGAGCTGCCTATATTGCCAGACATGACTTCCAAACACTCTTAGAACAGAAATAAGAAAGTTCTTCTCTTTAGACCAACTCCAAGTACATCCTCCAGAGCAATAGGTGTAGTGTGCCAACCATAAAAAGAAGGAAGATTACAAAGTTTCTTTTTGAAAAGTTCAACAATTATTTGGGCTGCTGCGACCCACTTTCACTGCTATTCCCACTTTTAGTGTCATAATAGGTGACATGCTGTTTCTGGCAGAATGATAGACCACTGTGCTTTGAAGGCTACTGACATTGTTTGTTTTTCTTTTGGCAGATAAATGACCTTGAAATTACCCATAATGTATACATGTCCAACCAGAACTCTCCTTTTCTGTAGAGGACCATACGGATTGGTAAAAAGACTGTGGGCTTTGTAATCAACAGAACTAGTTTTCTGTCTCGTCTCCGCCACTAACCAGCCTCGTGATCTTGGTAAGTTAATGTCCCTAAGCCTCTGCTTCCTGTAAAATAGGGATAATAATAATAATACCCACCTAAATGGTTGCTGTGAGAATTCACTGAGCTAACAGAATTAAAGCATCCAGCACAGTATACAGCACATACCACATGTTCTAAATGACAGCCTCAGTATTTTAACTGAATTTCATCTCGGAGTTCCTAACAAAGGCCACTTAATAACAGGAGAATCCAGCAAAAATACAGAATCTGGCCTTTGACTTGATCATTTAGAATGAGGGGACTGAAGCCTACGGAGCTTTGAATTTGTGAATTTACAGATCAGCCTCACCCAGTTGTCTGACCCTGGACAAGTGACTTAATCCCTGTGAACACAAGTTCCTTCCACATAGAATGACAAAAGAATAGTAATCACAGTTTATGTGAGGATTAAAAAAAAAAAATAGCCCAAGTTAAGTATCTGCCATATTGCAAGTGATTAAAATATTGTGGCTCTTCTTATAACGTATTTAATGTTACATCAACTGCCAATGTTTCATTTCATCAATGTCAATCAATTGAGTCCAGAAAAGCAGGGAAAATAAATAAATTTCACAATGCAGATAGTCGACCTTCAGTCAGTACTTACGTCGGCAGACCTTACAGCACTGGCCAGCAATGTGCACTGGGAGGGAGTCTGGGGAGCAATTGAGAGGGGGACACGACATCCTTCGGCATTCCACGGCACCACTCTGAGGAAGGAAGGACATGGAACATAATCTCAGAAGTATCCTTTGATAGCTCCTGTGGTGGAGATCACTCAACTTTCATCCCAGAAACCTCATCAGGGAAACAGATGCAGTATTAGAATTCCCAGTCCACTCCAGGACCACAAATAAAGTGTTTTCTCCAGCCCAACTGACCCGTACCACCTCAATTACTTTTCTGAAATACATCACTGGTTTCATCCTACCTGCCCATGTGGGCTAAGCAGATTATGCAGAAAACAAAAAGTCTATTTTTATAAGAATATAAATAACACATTTGCAGACCCTGTCAATCATTTCTCAGGCTCTAACAATCTGTTTTGTATTTTCCTGGACAAACAATGGCATTCTTCAGATATTTATCAAATAATTTCAACTGGACAGAGTTCCCATACTAATTTTTGGAGGGAGCTGTTATAATTCTCTGAAACAGATGAAGGGATATACAGATACTGGATATCCTGACAGTCAGTGAGTTAGGGAGAAAATGATTTGCAATTCTCTGAATCAGGTGATAGATACACTTTGGAAAAGACAATAAAAACACATAGAGAATAATTAAACTCCCTTTTTAAAGTTATTCTGGTTGTAAATAAGGCTAACCATTAGGTTGTCTGAAAATCAAAGGAGTCCCTTCTTTCCACTATATCCCAACCTTCAAACTCCAAACAGTGTATTACTTAACAAAAATATTAAATCAAATTAGAGTGTGCTGGCCAGGAAAAGCAGATTTTAATTTCCAAGTATTCATATAAGACATGACCCTTTTCCAGCGTTGCTTCACAATTGCTCATATGACTAGTAGATGCTAGGTAAAAAGGTAATAATTCTTAGAGTTAACGTTATTTATTAAAGAACCAGGTTACTCTATAATTATCAAACCTGTCCCTTTAAAACTATTTTTACTGCATTTATTTACAAAGAGGCTTACTTTGCAAGTGCAGTTCCTGCAATGGTCACCATCTACCCAAGAGTCTTGGTCTCGATAGAGCAGTCCACTCACTTGACAGGTCTTCTCACAATGACAGTTTTCCAATTGACTAAGTCTTGTCTCTGCATAATTTAGCTGCAAACAAGAGTTACTGAATGTAGCTTCTGTATTTCAATTGCATCGTCCTAACAATGCTAATAGCAACAAGAATAAAAAATCCATGCAAGAAGTGAAAAAAATGCTCAGAACAGTTCACTGGTTCTTAGCATTATCTGTTTTTTGTTTTTTTATTTTTTTTCCACAAGGTGGAATCACTCTAAATTGAAGACATATTGGCTATCATGGTCTAATGAATACCAAATGAGACATTAAAATGTATCTTAGGAACCTCATGGGTGTTCATAAATGTGTGTGCTTTCAGTTCAAGCCCACACAAAAACACTCATAATGAATTTGTTCTCAAGGACTCGTTATGATTTTTACAGGAGATCTAATCAGGAACTCCGAGGCACTTAAATTTATCTCCCACTATCCTCTCTATGTTCTTCACACACTAACTAGAATGTCATGGTTTACAAACTAGGAAGTCACTGTGTTCTATCTGATGAAAAATTCTGGAGAGCTGGGGCAAGAAAAAAAGAGAAGTCGTAAGAGGATCGCCGAGACAGAATGCCCCAGGAATTCACTTTTGTGCTTAGAAGATCAGGAGAAGTAACCAAACCCCCAGGTAAGATCAGAATTTTATAAAATAACCTTTTTTTTAATTTTTCTAGGCCACCCAGTATTGTCAATAATCACAGAGTCTTAGACTTTCCCGCTGGAAAGGGATTATAAAGCTTGAATATCCTCATAAGAAACTTCAAGTGATTATCTAGCCTTTGCACATCTCCAGTGGAGGAACATTTATCTTCCAAGGAAGGCCATTTTTTTCAGTTAGCTCTCAGTGTTTGAAACATTTTTCTTGGTTTTGGCTGTGAAATCTTTTTTTTTCTTTTTCCTGCCATATCTAGCTTTTCATCGTAACCCATCCTGACAAACCTAATCCTCACCATTTGAGGTTATCCTGTCCTCCCGACCACACCTGGCACCACCAGGTTCGCGTAACCACTCCTCTTGATATCATTCCAAGCCTCTCTTCTGATTGCTTTTCATACAGCCTACTCCAGTTTACCTTCAAAAACATGGTGCAAAAAAACCTTAAATACAGCACTTTGATATGATCTGTCTACTGTCACATCCATGCAACAGAGTGACTCACCCAACAGTGATATTACTCTCCCCTTCCTTTCTTTTCATAGACACCACCAGGATTAAAAACCAAATATCGGCCAGGCGCAGTGGCTCACACCTGTAATCCCAGCACTTTGGGAGGCCGAAGCAGGCAGATCATGAGGTCAAGAGATTGAGACCATCCTGGCCAACATGGTGAAACCTCAACTCTACTAAAAAATACAAAAATTAGCTGGGCATGGTGGTCCATGCCTGTAGTCCTACCTACTCAGGAGGCTGAGGCAGGAGAATTGCTTGAACCCAGGAGGCAAAGGGTGCAGTGAGCTGAAATTGTGCTGCTGCACCCCACTCTGGCAACAGAGTGAGACTCTGTCTCAAAAAAACAAACAAACAAAAATACCAAATATCATTTCCCAGAAAATTATCTGAGTTTCTCTTTTCCTTCTCAATCATGCTTATACTTTCATGTCTTGAGTACTTTCCCCATACAGGAAATCGATTGAACCTTTGATCTAACTAGGATTATTTTGAGCCACTACTTTAGATATAATAGATGAACCTAAGGAATGACTTCCACCGTCTTTCCACATTAACTATGGTTCCGTTTCATACACATTCCTCTGAATTACTCATACCAGAACTACCCTCTGGAAATGAAATCCACATGTAATTCTAACCTTTGCTTTTGTCATGTATTCCATCCTCTTCTTCCAAGCTTTTGGGATTTCTCAAGAAAATTTGCCCCTGTCTGCCTTTTGTGGGTGATAGCAAAGAGCAGAAAAAACAACAAATAGGATCTTAGACCAACCACCATGCACCATGGGCAGCCCCTAAAGAACTAAGAGTTGACTCTGCCTGAAATATCAGCTTCCTATTACATTTTCTAATAGGCATGATCTTCTAGAAATTTATGTTTCATTTAAAACTCTAGCCAAGGCCAGGCATAGTGGCTCATGCCTATAATCCTAGCACTTTGGGAGGCCAAGACGGGCACATCACCCAAGGTCAGGAGTTGGAGACCAGCCTGGCCAACATGGCAAAACCCTGTTTCTACTAAAAACACACACACAAAAAAAATAGCCAAGTGTGGTGGCGTGTGCCTGTAATCCCAGCTACTCTATAGGCTGAGACATGAGAATTACTTGAACCCAGGAGGTGGAGATTGCAGTAAGCCAAGATTGTGCCATTGCACTCCAGCCTGGGTAACAGAGCTATACTCCATCTCAATTAATTAATTAATTAATTAATTAAACAAAACTCTAGCCTAATCATAGAGTTTATAGAATCTATGATAATTAAGTTCTTTGGGAATGCTTTAGGAAACAGATAAAAATACACTTTTGAGTTTGGTGATAGTCTTGGATACTGAGGGATGATGGCATATGATTTGGCTACTTGCAGATACCAAAATCTGAAAATGTTCAAGGCCTTTATATAAAATAGCATGCCTTGCTCATAACATACTCACATTCTCCTATATAGTTTAAATCATCCCTACATAACTTATAATACCTAATACAATGTCTAGACATCAATTCATTCACATGGATTCAATGCAGTACTCGGTACATGGAAAATTCGAGTTTTGCTTTCTGTAACTTTTTGGAATTTTTTTTTTGAAGATTGTTGGTCCACGGCTGGTTGAATCTACAGATGTGAAACCTCAACAAAAAGAAAGTAACAATTTATCACTTATCTTTACTTCATTTCTAAAACCCCAGTAATTCCTACATAAGGTAGTAACAGATATATGACCTTGGCTTGAACTACAGAGTTGAACCAGATCTGCATTCCTCCTAAAAGGGTCTCTGAACTGTGTACCTTTGTGAGAGGACCCATACCTGCCTTACTCTGAAAACCTGAAACAACTCTGGTGTCTCTGTCATTCCAATAAGGGAACTTCTTAAAGAGTAAATGACCCAAAAGGCAATTCTATATCTATCTGAGCTTTCTTAAAATCCAGGAGCTTGCGTAAGGGCCATAGTGGCAATTTCTAGCACTGTCCCACGAAGCTGAGCTATGCTCACCTACAAAACTCGATTCCAAGGAAAATGTCATTATTAATATAATGAAAGCTATTCTCAAGACTGATTTTGTTTTCCTTCTGAATGTCATCTTATTTTTAATATTTTTAGCCTTTCCTGACAACATTGAAAAGCCCTATTCTATGTAATAATAAGAGCACATCAAATAGACACAAAGGCAAAGGGATGTTACGGCAAAAAGCTAATTTTTCAAAGATACTTAATGTACCCTCTTGCCTTCCCTTTTGTCCCTGCTAAATCCCAAAACAGCAATAAAGGAGACAACTCTGAATCAAAAAATGAAATACACTTTCTGTCATTGGTATCAGCATGCTGAATTTATACACATTTATTTTCAAAAGCTATTTCTATACTACCTGCCACTTTCTCTAAGAATGTCTGCAGATTCAAAATAGATATGGTATCAACTCTACATCTCTATTCTGTTTTCCTTTTGTTTATGCATTTATCTAAGCAACCATGAACCAATTCATTTATTTCTAACTCTACACAATGAAAAATAGACAGCAAGGCCTTTTTCATCATTGGAGGTCAATGAACAGATCTAAGTGCATTGGTCATGTGGTGAATTGCTTCTTTTCTTTGAAATATCATTTATTTGGCATTTGCTATATGAAAGGGAAAAGGAAACTTCCATTGTTAAACATTTAAGCTTAATTGAAAAATCATTATTGAATTCCTCAAACAATGAAAGTCTCAGAAGTAAAGACGTTACAAGCTTAAATGCCACTCCAAATGTGGCTTGATTTGCATACATAGATTTGTCAAAGATTTAAGCAGAAGTAACCAAGAAAGTTCCAGTCTTCAGTATATCTTTTTTCTGAGCTTGAAGTCAGAATGGGATTACAGTGCAGGTGGGATCTGATAGCAGGACAGAGCCTGATCCTATCACAATGTACCCAGCAGGTAGGTAGTTCCCACAATATCTAAACTACCTGAGAGAACATTCAGAGTAATATAGGGGAGTGGCTGACACTTGTAGATCACTAAGGGAGATGTCAGAGAACAAAAAAAAAGGGGGGGATACTACTTGAGATAGCAGCCCCATTTCTTCTCTGCCTTAAAAAAATATAGTTATGCCAAAATGCCAGAATTCCTCAAGAGAGCTCTTAACTAGCCTGACCTCTGTCACCTGAATGTGAGTGCAGGCTGCTCTCATGATCTGTCCTGCATCAAGCAAGGGCACCATCATTTGCAAGCATCCCTAACCCTAAAAGGGGAAAAGGAACAATAAGCCCTCCTACACAGACCCCTGGGCTGATCTGGTATCTACATCTATTTGGTTTGATCTTACTTTGGCTACCAATTTTTATCCAGCTTATACACTGAGCTTCCTCTCTGGAAGGACTCTAGGACTTCCACCTTGACCCAAAAGGAAGGATTTCCTGCTGTTTTCCAGAACTCCTAGGCTAGGGTCTTGCCAGCAATGCACAGGCTCTGCCAGATTTACTGATTTCAAGTCACTGGGGAAGATGTACATTTTCTTAGGGACCATTTTCTCTAAGGAACCATCATCCCACCATGGTTGTCTATATTTTCTAGGTTTAAGAGTATAAATAGCAGCAGCCACCACCTATTGAATGGCATTTCTGTGGCATGCAGCAAAACTCATTTGCCTGGGCTCACAGAATCTTTACAAGAGCAGGAATAATTGCCACCATTTTACATATGGGAAAACAGATGCTGAGCCTTATTCAAGGCTACAAACATCCAAGAAAATGATAAAATAGAGACTCAGAATCATATCAGCCTGACTTCAAAGCCCATTCTCTATCTCTACTATGACCTACATGACTGTATACTCATCTTAATCAGAACTGCTGGACAACTCAAATCAAACCTCTAAAGCTTAGCTCAAACCCCATTAACTAAATTCTGCCACAATAGGCCTATTTAACTAAAGATAAAGACTCGGCCCAGATAAATTTAGTGTCATAGCATTCTCTTTGCATCTGGGAACCACATTCAAGTTTGTCTAACATCTCCAGTCTCCACCTCCTTCCATCTGCCAAAAGGGTGAGTTACACTTCTGCCTCCACCAATGGCAGACCACATAACCTGAACCAACTAAACTGCTGTATTTGATATATAAATTAAAACTTTTGAAAATTGTCACAGAGCTAATATAAAAGGAAGAAAGTCACAGAGGCCAAAACAAAGTGACTGCAGGGCTTCCAGGAAATAAGTGAACACCCAAGACAACAATCCTGAAGATTTCTAATGAAATGCAGAGCCCTTGAGCTTCCACCCTGATGGCTACACAGGATATAGCAGGGCAGAGTTGGGGAACAGTATCTTCCCAAGATGAGTATCTTAAAGGAAACTCTTCTATAAAGGTTTGGCACTAACATCTGATACCCTCAGTCTTAGATTGAACGAAACGAAGGAGGCTTGTACAAGGCACAGAAAGCAAGGTTTCATGTTCAGACCTTGGCACCAGATAGAAGGAAAAAAAAAAAACTTCCTTGAAAATCCTTGAAGAGTCCTTTCCTGAGACTTCACCTGGCCTATCCTAAGTGTCGCAGTGTGACTCTGAGCAATCTGTCTGGTCTGAAAATACTTACATAGATAATGTCAAAGAATTTTTACATATTTCCAAGGAAAACAAGCAGCTCACAGCCAGAAGGGTGCATTAAGAGACCTTGTTCTTAAAAAATAATAATAAAATAGTACAATAAAAAAGAGACCTTGCTCTTGCCATAACCTTCCTTTTTGAAAATTTACTATAAGTTCTATGTTCACACATTTCATTCTCAACAGCTGAAAACTTTAGTTCAGCTCAATAAAATGATCAAACATTCATTTCTCTTTTCCTCTCTTTTTATTTGCTCATTCTTGGTAATATCTCCATCCTTCTGCCAGTGGATGGAGAGGGTTAGAAAGAGTAATTAATATTACTCCCTATTTATATCTTCTATCTCTCTTCCTAACCCTCTCTTGTCAAACCATAAACTTTCTTAGTCATGATTCAACTTTCAGGATCTAACTACCTGAGTTCAGGTCCCAGCTCTGTTATTTACTCTGTTAGGAAAAGTATCAGACCTTCCTGGACCTTAATTAACTCATCTGTAAAGCAGACTAATAAATAAAGCAATCTCAAAGGATTGTGGTAAAGATTAAAGTGACAGTGGATATAAAAGCTTAAGCATTATAACTAATACACAGTAAATGCTTGTATTACTGACTTTTCAGATTCTTTTAGATCAACAGTTGACAAACTGTTGATCTAAAGGTCAGTGGATCAAATCTAGCCCACTACTTATGTACGTCCTCTAACCTAAGAATGGTTTTTACAGTTTTCAACAGTTATAATTTAAATGATTATACTTAAATGAACTAAGTCTATGCATAATATCCTTGATTTTGCCTCTTGGCTTGCAAGGCCCAAAATTTGCTAGCTGGTCCCTTATGGAAAAAGTTTGCCAACACTTATGCTAGATGATCATCGATTTCAAATTAGGCAGCAAAAATGGAGGTAGTTAGTTTTCAAATTGTAATTCTATACACAGTTTGGAAGGAACAGACTTACAAATCTGCCAAAGTGCCAGAAGGAGGCTTAGAAGGTGGATTATACCATTTTCTGCTTGCAATTGCCCACAATTAAATATCTTCTGCCTCACAAATGCCCATTTTACATAATAATGTTTTGAGAATAGAGCTCTAAGTGGCTCCTAGATGATGTGTGGCTAAAGAGAAAAATGACATTCTCTACAATGAGAAAAGAATGAGAGCAAATAATGTCCTCAAAGCTGGAAAATGAAGAACCGCAATCACCTGAGACTCAGTGGCACGTTTCTTGTTCCAAAAATTTGGTAGCATGCTAAAATATAATTAACAGTATTGAGATCAAGCTGCTTCAGACAATATGAAATAAAAGCCTCTCTACGACACAAGCTGGGAAAGCAAATAATCACCTGTGTTTCACAATCGCACTGTACTCTGAAGTGAAAAGCTAATGCTTCAGATCTGAACCTCAGTCTCAATCTTTTTCTTACAAAAGCTTTCCATCTCTCCTTTCCAGACAAAAGGGGGCTTGACTTGGCCAAAAACCCAGTTTGAAATAGAAACATTGTCTTCAGCAGCACAGTCTATGGTCCAAAATATAGCCTTATCTCCCAAACACTTACCAACCCACCAATTTTTTTGTACATGCCATGGCTGATGGTAGGGAGCAATCTTAGCCGCAGGTATAATAGGATTAATGTATCATTTTCACTGTTATTAAAATTCTTCCTTATGCAGGGTATAACGTCTCTTAGGCCCAACCTAATTCTTTCTTCGCCCTAGGCCGGAACTCATGTCCATGACTGATCGGTATCATAACAACAGCATTAGCCACATTTTCTATTTTTTCAGTGTCTTTTTCAACAAGGCTCAGGGCTTTCTATTATGAATATACACTTTATGAATATATATATTAAAGGCCTTAGTTATTTACACATTTGGCTCTGCCACTCAATATGAACATATCTAGGGTAGAAAGCATATCTTGCTCACCATTGCCTCTTTGTGCCTAACACAGTGCACAGCAAACAGCAGATCCTCAAAAGATGCTTGTTAAGTGGATGATGGAATGGAGAGGAGGAAAAGGTGCAGAGTTATAAAACCAAAGGTGTTGAAAGGCAAATTTGCCTCCTTTGCTGTTTAATTCAGGACCAGCCTTGAAATGAATTATACATTAAAAATGTAATATAATGCCTTCCTTTGACAGTAATCTGTTCCTAACAAGAGCCATTTTGCCCCATCTGATTATTTGCAATTATTCTTACATCCGAAATGCATTAGCTTTTAAGAGCACTGGCTCTGACCATAGATCATCTTACAGTGTTACTACGTTAATAGCCATTGGGCAAATTCCTTTTCCACTCCCGTGGAATCTACAGTGATACATATTGCCTCTTGCTTCCAAACATTTTTCAAGTAAACATTATGATACAGCTTAATAGCACCAAAGACAGGAATGGTTATGTTTACTATTGGTAGTCCTATTTTGAGTAAGAATAAACCATTTTTGTAGTAACATATAGCAGATGCCAAGGCTAAAAATGTTTCCATTATAACATATCACTCCAAATTCCAGATAGGACAGAAAAAGAAATGAAACATCACATGTGAAATTTCGATACCTACTTTTGCAGTCATCTTGGCCAAAAGCTCTTGTAAATCCATTATTCCTTGCACCAGGCTTAAGAAATCACTGCAGGTTGGGCAAGCTCAATAAAGAAAATATAAAATATATATTTATATTGTGCTAATATGAGAAATAAAATTTTAAAACAGTAGATATGTGACTATGTAGAAGAGTTTTGGGGGGCTTTTTGGTTAATATTGCTTCAAAATTTGAGTGAAATCACAGAAGATTTCAGGTCTGGATCTTTTCCTACTTTAATAAGCAAAAAAAAGAACAGGAAAAAGGCACTGTTAACTAAGAAAATAAGGCAACATGACATTTTAAAGTTAAAATTAAACTCTCATTTCTATAGAGAGGCAACTGAAAAACTGTGAACTATCACAGAAGAAAAAGTAAACTCTCATGCAGGTCAAGGATTTTAAATAATAGGTTTTTAAAAATATATATTATATTAAACATATCTTTCTATATCCACCTGTAGAACATGCTAATGTAACCCTCTTCTTTTCAAATTTTAATTCAGTAAATGATATAGGTTGGCTGCATCCCCACTCAAATCTCATCTTGAATTGTAGCTCCCATAATTCCTACATCTGGGAGGGACCCAATGGGAGATAATTGAATCATGAGGGTGGTTACTCCCATACTATTCTCATGTTAGTGAATAAGTCTCACAAGATCTGATGGTTTTATAAGGGGTTTCCCCTTTCACTTGGCTCTCATTCTCTTTGCCTGCCACCATGTAAGATGTGACTTTGCTCCTGTTTTGCCTTCCACCATGATTGCGAGGCCTCCCCAGCAATGTGGAACTGTGAGTCAATTAAACCTCTTTCTTTCACAAATTACCCAGTCTCAGGTACGTCTTTATCAGCAGTATGAGAACTGACTAAGACAATAAATGATACATATTTTTTAAAGACACAGAATTATATAATATAGATAATACGTTCTCTTTCACTATCCCCAGCATCTCAGAAGTCAACACTATAAACAATTTGTGTCTGTCTTTCCAGATGTGTTTCTCTGATATGATCAACAAGTTATATAATATATCAAAATGCTTTAAGTTGCTACTTACTGCGATTTAGATTTGGACACTGTGTTATATATCCATTTGGCATAAAGATGATCTTCCCATCTTGGATGATCCCCTTGATAATAGAAAAGACAGGTGGCAATCAAGATTACAGTCACCAGCTATGGTCCCTATACAATCACGTATTCTTGGCAGGTCAGATTATTTTTCAACAAAAATGATTCATTCAAAGGTTGAGTTGCCCTTAGTACATACTAAACTACTCTAAAGCATCCTGCTTTAGGAATCTTGAATTGTACATTTATGTGGAGAAAGCTACAATTAGTTACCACTAGTTAATGCCAATTATATATTGTAGTACCAAAGATACATCAGTAAAAAGTATTGATTCAATAAAAATTCTCTTTAATGCCCTAATCATCCTGGATCATTTAATGCTGCTGATTTACAGAATTTTTAAAGTGGAAAGAAATATAATAGAAATATATTAGGCTAAAATTTTTCTACTGATTTAGCCAAGGAAATAAAATTAGACATTGGGAAAATTCCATAACAATCTTTGTTCCTCAACTAATTGAGTAACATTTAAGTCTTTCTTGATGAATCTTAAGTCAAGAGTAAAAGGTTGTCTTTTAATTCTGTAATTCAGTCTGGAAGAATAGCCCAAATTTAAGAAAGTCATCAGGGCTGTCATCTCTCAATGAAAATATTGACTTGGCTTTTGAATTTTTCAAGTTGAATTTCAAGATTCTGTTGTTAGGGTTTTTTTCTGATTTGATGGCAGAGATATTACAAAACAGATGGAAGATGTGCAAGCTGGTTCAGAATATTGAGCTTAATCTATAAATAAAATATAGGCTTAAGATAGTGCTGCAAGTATTTCAGAGGGAGTAGCATCTAACATTTATGTGCTCATCTTCTAAACAGCAGAATGCTGTTTTTGGCTTATTATTTCAAGAAAAAATATTAATTGGAAATATTAATAGAAATACCAGGATCATAGCACCTCTTCCACAGAATTATGTATGTTTATTAACCTCTTTCTCTTCAAGGATGATGCAGTGTTTGTGATTATGAGAAAAGACAGTTTCACTATGGGGAAGAAGTTTCTGCCACTATTCCTCAATATTAATTCATAATCTCTTGCAGAGGAATACCAGGGAGCAATTAATGGAGCACAATCTAAATGAATTAGCTTCTCTCTCAGATGAAGTTACTCAGTATTTCAAAACAAATTAACTCCTTTGAGAGGATAGCATACCTTCAAGCACACATAGCAATTTGAGACAAGCATGGATTAGAAGTCAGAGAACCTGGGTTCAAGTTCTGGATCTGTCTCTAGCTAACTAGGTAGACTTAGCAATAAGTTAGCCACCTTCTATGAGCCCCAGTTGCTTCACTTGGAAAGGGAGTGCTAGATAAAAAAGCTAAAAATCCACCCAGCATTCATGTTCTAGGTCAATGAAACAGGCCTCCAAACTGAAATTGTCACATTTTAGATATCTATGCTCATTAGTTTTCAAATAATAATTTTAAAAAAAAAGAATCTGAACAGACAAAACTGTAGATTTCTATCTTATGGATTTCCTGGAACATGGAAAACTTCAGCACTAAAACAGGCTCCTAGGCAAACCAGGACAGCTGGTTACCCTAGGTGATATGGAATTACTGGAAGCATATGTACCAGAAAAAGGGCGGATCCATACCTATTCATCAGAAGACCCTGGATTATTTTTATCATCTATGGAAAGGGTACTCAGAAACCTGGAGCATATGTGTCATAGTGTTAAATACCTCTCCAAAAACAAATTGAAAATTCATTTTAAAATGATACCTTATCCCACTTAATCCTATAGAAAGAAAATACAGCACACAGCAGTTTTCCTTTTCCTTTCCAAGTGACTTTACTAATTTTAGTGACATCATGAATTACAAATCACCTGCCCTCACACCTTCCCTCTATCTGTATCTCTCCTTACTTTTGTCTTTCCACTTTTAATCTCTGGCACCTGTGTGTGTATGCTACATAGATCATTAGGTGAAGGTCAATAATGTTGACTTGAACAAAAAACAGAATAAAAGCTGACAGCTTCCCAATGCTCATTAACACAAAAACCCAAAGCATTTGGTATTTTTTTAAGAAGAAAGGTCATAGAGGTGAGCCCACAAACTGGCATGAAAATTTGTTCTTGCCAAATGAATCAAGACGAGAATGTTAATCTATTTGAATGGTTGTAAGTCAATGCTGGATTAAAAGAAAAGTGGCGATACACTACAGATACCACTTACAATCTAAAGACGCCTGAGTGCATGTGTGTGTATGCATGTGACCACACACATTTATGTATATCCCAGCACCTTCCCCAGAATAAGAACCAGAAGGTCTGGCATTAAATTGCTATATGGACAATTTACTGCCAGGACATTTGCTGATAAAAGAAACATTTGCTAAGCATGTAGTTTTCTTCAGAGAACTACAAAAGGGATTTTATAATGTATAAAACCATAAAGGAACTCAGCTTTATTTCTCTCACAAAAAAAAAAAAAAAAAAAAAATCATCTGTGAGGATTTCCACAGATGAAAATGTGCCTTCAAGCACTACAACTTCTCCCAAAGCAGATAAGGTATAAAAGGTAAAATTTTTATTATTTCTCCTCGTTTAACTCTAAATGTATCTACATTTAACTGAAAAACACAACTCTAGCTGGCCCTGTATTAGCTGACCTCATTTGATCTCATTTTTGCAGACATATGCTCTATTTCATATTATTCATCTTGGCAGTGTTTCTTAAACTTCATGTTCCTGGAGAATCACCTTCAGTATCTGCTTAACATTCAGCTTCTTGTATCAACCCAAAGGATACTGTTTCAGAAGAGTTGGAGTGGGCCCAGAAATCTTCATTTAAAAAAAAAAAAAAAAAAAAAAAAAAAAAAAAAAACCTCTTCCAGATGATTCTGATGACTGGTAAAAGGACCCTTTCTGCTCTATTCTAATCATTTGCTCCTTTTGGAACAAGAGGGTTTACTCACTAAAAGTTCACAATGGTTAAAATTATTGCATCCAACTCATATATAAATAGGGTAAAATCTCACTGATTTGGAACTGAATAAAAACCAACAGAATTACTAGATTATATTATAAACACTGTGAAGGCAAAAATGATACATTTTCATCTTAGTATCCCCTGGAGTTACTATTGTAGTAGATTTTACATAGTAAACACAATAAATATTTTAAAGCATCAAATTGTTGAAAATTATACAATATTGAACCACATAATATTGAGCACAGTTAGAACCTATGAAGATCATGTAGGGTATTAGTTTTTTTTTTTTTTTTTTTTTTTGGCATTCGTTTTTAATTTAAGGTACATATCAGAATTTTGGAAGAGATTAAAAGAACAATCATAGCTATTTGAAAACTTTCTGAAGTCATTTTGATACTTTCTGTAAGAACTACTTATCTAGGACCAGATCACCTGGCATTTGACCTATGAGAAATTTAGGGCTTTGATACTCTAAGTAGCTTTTCTAAAGGATACCTTAATCTTAGGCTATATACTACAGGGCTACTAACTCTTGCAAGCCAAAAATGAAGCTCTGAGGCCCACAACCATCTGAATGAGCCCTTCCTCTTGGGCAAGGGCATTCCACAGTTTATCTGGAAATCTAGTTCAGGCTGTGATGGAAGAGGGGATTGGACACGCTTCATTCTATCCCTCCAGCATTAACATCAACACAGACCTTAAGTCTAACAGGAAACATTTACAATATATTCTCTCTAAAGCCTGCTACTTAGAGGCTTTATCTGCATGATAAAACCTCCTTCTCCACAACCCCTTATCAGAACCCAGACATTCCTTACTACTGATAATTCTTTCAACTAATAGCCAAACAAAAAAATTTTAAATCTACCTAGGACCTAGAAGTCCCCACCCTTCTAGTTGTTCCACTCTTCCAGGTCAAACCAATGTAAATCTTACATGCATTGATGAAAGTATTCTGTCTCCCTAAGATGTATAAAAGCAAGGTATACCCTCACCGGTGACCTTGGGCACATGTCCTCAGGATCTCCTGAGGTTGTATCATGGGTGCATCCTTAACCTTGGCAAAAAAAACTTCCTCAATTGATTGAGACTTGTTTATAGTTAGCTAGAGACAGATCCAGACACTTTTTGATTTACACTCTAAAACCAGTCACTACAATATGCTGTAGGTAAAAATATATCATTTAAGGGAGCCCCTTAACATGAACTAACAATACGTTGCCACAAAGAGGTCCTGTTAGCAAAATGAGGTTTTGTCTTAATTGTCTTAATAGATACTAATCAAACATGCAAAACTAATTATTTAAGTATTTGCATTAGATGCTAATAATTTGCTAAAACAGTTTTTCAGTGATAGAAAGCAGAGGTCTTTTTAGGTAGCCTAATATCCACCCCCCATCTTATTTACACTATTAATTTGCTAAACAATCCATTTTCTTATTGTTAGTGTAATGATAAACCCCAGCTGATCTGAGAACCTAAATAAATCCCTAAATAAAAGCTTATTAATTTTGGGCTCTGCAACTATTAGTACTGATGGAAGACAAAAAAATGGATTTTTTTTTTGCTTTTGTTTAATCCACCTGTTGCCACCCTGTGCCTTCTGCAGTCAGCTCCCCATGCACTGAAAAATAAATTTGCACCAGGTACACTGTATATTATGGATTTTAATGTTTAGGAAACTAAATAATGCCCATTATTTCCATCGTTCCTAGAACATTTCTCATTTTGCATTAAGAAATATAGAAAGATGCAATTTAAAAAATTAGAAAATTATCCAATTAGGTCCCTCTTGTGTATGAAATAACTAAGATTAGGCAAGCTCTTCTAAACATGCAGAGCTTTCTGATACAAATGAAAGCAGCTTCACCACCAAACAAATGCTAATTCTTTTTTAATGCTCTTATTTCCCTGCAGATCTCTGTTTACATTGAAGAAAATGGCTCTATTTTTTTTGTATGCTAAAATACTGAAACAAATTGCTTTGAAAGAGAAAGTAAAAAGGGGTGGGAGAGTTTCCTGCAGGGCATGTAAATATATGGATGAAGATGTATTCTGTTTATAAAC